AACAATTTTGCATTTCTTTGTGTTTTCCTCAATTTCTTCCATGAGTATTCTATAGTTTTCTGAGTACAGATCCTTTGCCTCTTTGGTTAGGCTTATTCCTAGGTATCTTATGGTTTTGGGTGCAATTGTAAATGGAATCAACTCCTTAATTTCTCTTTCTTCTGTTTCATTGTTGGTGTATAGAGTTGCAACTGATTTCTGGCATTGATTTTATACCCTGCCACTTTACTGAATTCCTGTATGAGTTCTAGCAATTTTGGGGTGGAGTCTTTGAGTTTTCCACATAAAGTATCCTGTCATCTGCAAACAGTGAGAGTTTGACTTCTTTGCTGATTCAGATGCCTTTGATTTCTTTTTGTTGTCTGATTGCTGTGGCTAGGACTTCTAGTACTGTGTTGAATAGCAGTGGTGATAGTGGACATCCCTGCCGTGTTCCTGACCTTAGGGTCAGTTTTTCCCCATTGAGAATGATATTGGCTGTGGGTTTTTTGTAGATGGCTTTTATGACATTGAGGTATGCACCTTCTATCTCTACACTGTGAAGGGTTTCATCAAGAAAGGATGCTGTACTTTGTCAAATGCTTTTTCTGCATCTATTGAGAGAATCATATGGTTCTTGTCATTTTTTTTATTTATGTAGTTTATCATTTGATTGATTTGCGGAGCTTGAACCAACCTTGCAGCCCAGGAGTAAATCCCACTTGGTTGTGGTGAATAATCCTTTTAATGTGCTGTTGGATCCTATTGGCTAGTATCTTGGTGAGAATTTTTGCATCCATGTTCATCAGGGATATTGGTCTGTAATTCTACTTTGTGGTGGGGTCTTTGGTTTTGGGATCAAGGTACTGCTGGTCTCATAGAAAGAGTTTGGAAGTTTTCCTTCCATTTTTATATTTTGAAATGGCTTCAGAAGAATAGGTATTAATTCTTCTTTAAATATTTGGTAGAATTCCCCTGGGAAGCCATCTGGCCCTGGGCTCTTGTTTGTTGGGAGAGTTTTGATGACTGCTTCAATTTCCTTGCTGGTTATGGATCTGTTCAGGTTTTCTATTTCTTCCTGGTTCCGTTTTGGTAGTTTATACATCCCTAGGAATGCATCCATTTCTTCCAGATTGCCTAATTTGTTGGCATATAGTTGCTCATAATATGTTCTTCTAATTGTTTGTATTTCTTTGGGGTTGGCTGTGATCTGCCCTCTTTCATTCATGATTTTATTTATTTGGGTCCTTTTTCTTTTCTTTGGATAAGTCTGGCCAGGGGTTTATCAATCTTATGAATTCTTTCAAAGAACAAGCTCCTAGTTTCCTCAATCTGTTCTACTGTTCTTTTGGTTTCTATTTCATTGATTTCTGCTCTAATCTTTATTATTTCTCTTCTCCTGCTGGGTTTAGGCTTTATTTGCTGTTTTTTCTCCAGCTCCTTTAGATGTAGGGTTAGGTTGTGTATTTGAGACCTTTCTTGTTTCTTGAGAAAGGTTTGTAGTGCTACGTACTTCCCTTTTAGGACCGCCTTTGCTGCATCCCGAAGATTTTGAACAGTTGTGCTTTCCTTTTCATTTGTTTCCATGAATTTTTTAAATTCTTCTTTAATTGCTTTGTTGACCCATTCCTTCTTTAGTAGGATGCTCTTTAGCCTCCATGTATTTGAGGTCTTTCCAACCTTCCTCTTGTGATTGAGTTCCAGCTTCAGAGCACTGTGGCCCGAAAATATGCAGGGAGTGATCCCAATCTTCTGGTACCTGTTAAGACCTGGTTTGTGACCCAGGATGTGACCTATTCTGGAGAATTTTCCATGTGTACTAGAGAAGAATGTATATTCTGTTGCTTTGGGATGGAATGTTCTGAATATATCTGTGAAGTCCATCTGATCCAGTGTGTCACTCAAAGCCCTCATTTCCTTGCTGATCTTCTGCTTTGATGACCTGTCCATTGCAGTGGGGGGGGGTGTTAAAGTGCCCTACTAGTATTGTATTATATTGATGTGTTTCTTTGATTTTGTTATTAATTGGCTTATATAATTGGCTGCTCCCATGTTAGGGACATAAATATTTACAACTGTTAGATCTTCTTGTTGGCTAGACCCTTTAAGTATGATATAGTGTCCTTCCTCATCTCTTATTAGTCTTTGGTTTAAAATCTAATTTGTCTGATATAAGGATTGCCACCCCAGCTTTCTTTTGATGTCCATTAGCATGATAAATGGTTTTCCACCCCCTCACTTTCAATCTGGTGGTGTGTTTGGGTCTAAAACGAGTCTCTTGCAGACAGCATATTGATAGGTCTCGCTTTTTATCCAATCTGATACCCTGTGTCTTTGCCTGGGGCATTTAGCCCATTTACATTCAGAGTAACTATTGAAAGATATGAATTTAGTGCCATTGTATTGCCCGTAAAGTGACTGTCACTGTATATTGTCTCTGTTCCTTTCTGGTCTATGTTACTTTTGGACTCTCTCTTTGCTTAGAGGACCTCTTTCAATATTTCTTGTCGGGCTGGTTTGGTGATCACAAATTCTTTTAGTTTCTGTTTGTCCTGGAAGCTTTCTTATCACTCCTTCTATTTTGAATGACATCCTAGCTGGATAAAGTATCGTTGGCTGCATATTTTTCTCGTTTAGCACCCTGAATACATCATGCCAGTCCTTTCTGGCCTGCCAGGTCTCTGTGGATAGGTCTGTTGCCAATCTAATGTTTCTACCATTGTAGCTTACAGACCTCTTATCCCCGAGCTGCTTTCAGGATTATCTCTTTGTCTCTGAGATTTGTAAGTTTCACTATTGTATGTTGGGGTGTTGACTTATTTTTATTGATTTTGAGGAGGTTCTCTGTGCCTCCTGGATTTTAATGCCTATTTCCTTCCCCAGATTAGGGAAGTTCTCCAGTATAATTTGCTCCAATATACTTTCTGCTCCTCTATCTTTCCTCTTTTTCTGGGAACCCAATTATTCTAAAATTGTTCCACTTTATGGTATCACTTATTTCTTGAACTCTGCCCTTGTGATCCAGTAGTTGTTTATCTCTCTTTTTCTCAGCTTCTTTATTCTCCATCATTGGTCTTCTATATCACTAATTCTCTCTTTTGCTTAATTTACCCTAATCATTAGAGCCTTCATTTTTTATTGCACCTCATTAATAGTCTTTTTCCCCACAACTTTGTTAGATTTAATTCTTTTATTTCTCCAGGAAGAGATTCTCTTGTGTCTTCTATGCCTTTTTCAAGCCCAGCTAGTATCTTTATAATCATTATTCTGAACTCTAGTTCTGACATCTTACTAATGGTCATATTGATTACGTCCCTGGCAGTCAGTACTGCCTCTTGTTTTCTTTTTTGAGGTGAGTTTTTCCATCTTGTCATTCTTTCCAGCAAAGAATAGCTGAATGAAAGAACAAAATACTAAAATGGCAATAATGAACCCAGAGAAATATACACTTGCAGAAAGTGGTCACTTTTCTCTTTGTAGAGTTGTAGCTATTCTTTGCTTAGATCTCCAGTTGAGTTTGTAGGTGTTCAGAATGATTTGATAGATATCTAGCTGAATTCCTGGGACCAGATGAAATTAAGGTCTCCTGAACCTTGCCATCTTGGTCTTGAGCCTCTTATTTTTCTTTTAACAACTGTGGAATCTGTAGTGATGCCACATTTCTCATTCCTGATATTGGTAATTTTTTCTTTTCTCTCTCTCTCTCTCTTTTTTTTCCCTGGTCAGTTAAGTTAGAATTTTATCAGGTAAATTCATCTTCTCAAAGAACCAGCTTTTGGGTTCACTGATTATCTCTATTGTTCTTCTATTTTCTATTTTATTGATATCTATTCGGAAGTAAGCCTCCTGGGAAGGTAGATCATTTTGCCCCATTTTTATTTTTCAGACATTCATCTGAAAGTCCCTCAGTCACTGAAGTATATGGTGACTAAGCAAATGTCTAATAATAGTTCAGGCATCTCAGAAGGAGCCATGTTGGCTCCTAACAATAATTATGCCCCCCAGGTGAGCTCTAGAATCCCTTAATAAATGTTTCTCTTATCTGACGTACACCACTGAGCTCACCCATAAAGGTTTCTAGAAAACTTGCATAGTGTAATTCAGTCCAATGCAACAAACATTCCTTGTGTGTTTTCTCTGAGTGAGGCATAGCATGGGTCCTATCAGAGGAGGGTGCAAATATGGAGAAGATATATCCTCTGGCCTCAACGAGTGCTGGGTAGAGTGTGGGAGACAGATAAAGAGATTCCTGAAGTAGGGTAACAGGCCGATTGGGGCGAGCCCACAGCAGAGAGGTCTAGACAGAGGAATGCGGAAGCAGAGAGGAAAGAGAGAGCAGAGTGCTTCTGGCAAGCATAGGGCAGGTGACCACCCACTGCACTGTGATGCATCTAGAGAAAGTGATTTTAAAATAGATGACATCACATTCCGTCAATCACATCGCTAGAATGGTCCATGGAGGTGGGATTGTCACTCTTAGCATTTTGGAGACCTCAGAGGATTTGGATATGGAACAAACAAGCAGCAATGCCAGATATTTCAGAGACTTTTGTGAACACAGTTCCACTGCCCATGTGGAAGGTAGTGGTAAGTGATTCAGGTTTTTCCTTGGAAACTGAGATGCCAATCTCTTTCTGACCAAATTGTCTTATGTAGTCTGAGGATAAAACCTAAATTTTCCTTGGAACAAATTGCAAAATATCATGTTTATTGATGTTTACTTTCATTTTTATCACTCCAAGTCCTCAAAAGCATTGCTTAATAATTCTTTTCCCAAATGACTGTTGCCTGTGAATCAGTGCGTGATCTCTGTCCAAGGCAAAGATCAAAAGTTACTCTTATCTGGAAAACATACACGCATGTGTCTCAGCAAATGGGACTCATTCATTATTGTTCTGGTGAGTGAATCATTGGTAGTGCTTTTTTTTTAATGAATGTGTGACTATTCACCCTCTCCTGGGACTGTATTACACCAGCTCAGAATCCAAGCAGCTGGATTGCTCTGGGCTCCATTTTCCGCAATGGCTCCTGCACTTTTGACCAGCTTCCCTCCTCTCTGTGTGTGTCTCCTGCTGACTTATGGCTTTGCTGAGGCAGGCAAATTGCTGGTAGTACCCATGGATGGGAGCCACTGGTTTACCATGCGTGCGGTGGTGGAGGAACTCATCCACAGAGGCCATGAGGTGGTTTTAATCATGCCAGAAGTGAGTTGGCAACTGGGAAAATCTTCCAATTTTACAGTGAAGACTTATTCCACAGCTTACACTCTGGAGGAGTTCAATCAGCATTCCAAGATTTTCTCTGACTCTCAGTGGAAAACTCGGCAACAAAGTTTACTTTCTTTGATAATGAGTTCATCCAGCAACATTTTTCAAGACTTTTTTTTACATTGTAAGAATTTGTTTAATGACACAAAATTAATAGAATACATAAAGGAGAGTTCTTTTGATGCAGTGTTTATGGATCCTTTTGATATGTGTGGCTTAATTGTAGCCAAGTATTTTTCACTCCCATCTGTGGTCTTCACCAGGGGAGTATTTTGCCATTATCTTGAAGAAGGCACACAGTGTCCCAGACCCCCATCCTATGTTCCTAGATTTTTCTTAGCATTCTCAGATACCATGACTTTCAGAGAGAGAGTATGGAATCATATCTTCTACTTGGAGGAACATCTATTTTGTTATTATTTTTTTAGAAAATGCTATAGAAGTTGCATCCGAGATTTTCCAAAAAACTGTCACACCGTATGATCTCTACAGCCAAACGTCGATTTGGTTGTTAAGAACTGACTTTATTTTGGAATATCCCGGACCTGTGATGCCCAACATGGTCTTCATTGGAGGCATCAACTGCCAGGAGAGAAAGCCATTGCCAAAGGTAAGTTACCTCTTCTTTCGCATAGTAAGAATAACCTCGCTTTGGACATTAAAAAAAAAAAAAAATTCCTTACTGAACTGTGGTTTGTCATTTACATTCGTCACATCTGGAAATTTTTTCCTCGTTGAATGAATTATTTTGTGCCAATTTATTGAATTGTGCATTAGCAAATTGTATAAAGTTGCCCTCTTTGATGTGCATATGTACACAATTGATATAATTGTATATAATTTCTAGGCTGTGTTTTGTAATACTATCCTTGGGAAACTACTGAAAACACAGTAAGAAAAGAAACTTCCATTTTTGTTAATCTAATGCCAACCCTTATAGGAAAATGCTCTTAGGAGTTCTGTATGCTGCTTTTCCAATTTTTCTGAAATTATTTTATATATATATGTATATATACGTATATATCTAATGCAAATTCTCACACCTGTTTTATTAAAAGAAAATCTAGTAAAAGATTGGACATATTGTTCTTTACCTTGCCTTTTTCACTTACTAACCAATCATTAACATCTTTACAGTCAATCCCTACAAATCTGTCACATTCTTTGTAATAGTTGCATAAAATTCTTTACTTTGGATGTACCATAGTTCATTTGACTAAGCAATACTGATAGGTATTTAAGCTTTTCCCACTGTTTGCTTTATAAGGAAGACTGTACTAACCATTCTTAAATAATTTCTTTGCATTCCCACATTTCTATAGTCTTGCTCTTATCTCTGTAGGCTGGATGTCCTTAGGAGTAGGGCACACATTGGTATGCACACATTGCGTTTTAATACCTTTGAGAGATTGCTTTCAAAAGATTGAACAGTCTGACACTTTGGTCAACAGTAGTGAGTCCTCTAGTGTTTCCGTAACTTCTCCGGCTTCAGATGTTGTCAAACTTTCAAAACTCTTTTGGCAAAAGAATAATTCTGCATAGCAGCTTTAATTTTCATAGATTGGCCTTTTGATTTCAACTTTCAGGAAGTATGTATTCAGATTCTTTAATCATTTTTCTCGGGCTATTTGTCTTTTTATAGGTAATGACTAAGTCTCTTGAGTATTAGGAATATTAATATTAACACTTTTTATGAACGGCAAATATTTTTTCCTTGGTTATTCTTCATCTTTTGTCATAGAAGGTTTTCATTTTTGGATAGTCAAACTTTTTAACTTTTTTTCTAGTTTTAACTTTTTTTCTGGATTTCAACTTGTTTAGGTCTTTCTAAGCCTGAGGTATATAAACGTTTTTTCCATACTATGTCTTAGTATTTTTAATTCCTCCAGTGTTAACAGTTATATTTTTTGCAGTGAAGACATTATATGGTGTAAGGATCTAACTTTATTATTTTTCTAAATGGGTAGTCATTGTCCCAACATCATTTAATAAAAAAATCCATTCTTTATCTGTTGAATCCAAATGCGTCTTTACCCTATTTTAAACTTCCATATTTATTTGCATCTACTTTTGAACTCTCAGTTTTGTTCCATCGATTGATGTATTTACTCATGTGCCAGTATCATATTTTGATTGTAGTAGCTTTGTAGTACGTTTTAATATGTGGTAAGGCAAGTTCCATACATCAGTATTTTTCTAAATTTTCTTGGTGATTCTTGTTATTTACTCTCCTTCACAAAATTGAAAATTGTTTAGTCTCATTCCAAACGGAGAAATAAAGTATTAGGGTTCTGCTAAAAGACATAAAATTCTTTTATTAATTTGAGAAAGATCGACGTCTTTTTGCTTGGAAGACTTCCTACTTCTGATTGTAGTATTTCTCTTTATTTATTCAGATCTTGCTTTATGCCTATCAATAAAGTTTTGCATTTTACTTTATGTCTTTCACTTTTCTTATTAAAATTTTTTCCTAGGCATATTATTATTTTTGAAATTTTTGTGATCATGCTGTTTTTCACTGCTATTTTGAACTGATTATTAGTCATTAAAGTGTAGTTTTGGTTTTGGCACATTTATCTTGTATCTAGCCATATTGCTAATTTCTCTTTTAGTTTGTAAGACTCTTAGGTATATAATATCATCTGCAGGTAAAAATCCCTCCCCATATTCGTACCTCTTATTTTGCTTTATTGGAGCACATAACCTCCAAAAGCACGACACCTCCAAGTGTCGAACAATTAGTTCAGAACAATTATTCAATAGTTCCTGAATAATGTCAAATACTTGGTCTGGCCAGCTTGATTTGGGGTTCAGTTGTTGCAATTGGAAAGGTCTTGACAAATACAAGAGTAAGATTCCTGGTGACGACATTGCCTCTAACTCCTGATGAAACACCTGGTGGCATGTTTCAGGGGATTATTTTATTAGATATGTACTATACATTTTATCTATTGATCTGGCTGCTGACACGGCTCAGCACATTTTGTAAAGGTCGTACTGTCTCATATATTGGGAGCCTTATTCTCCCCTTTGAACTAAGGAGTGGCTAGGAATGGATCCTGCCCTCAGGGGATCTGTGTGGTGAACATGCTGCTTCTATAACTCAGACTACTCACAGCCTGAACCAGGTCTGGTGAGGACAGCATTATGGAAGGGGGCTCTGCTCACCTTGCCTTGCCCACTGTGGGCACCAGGATCTTCACAAAGCTGAAGAGGTTGTGCTCAGATCAGGTACACACATGCATATGTGAAATCTAAGATGATAATGATGGGTTTATTTAGCATGACTGCAAGCAAATGAGAATTGGGGTATTTGTTGGCGTGTAGGATGTACAGACTTATATAATGCATGCCATTGATATCAAGAAATTTGGGGGACGTGGGATGCCTGGGTGGCTCAGTCGGTTAAGCGTCTGCCTTCAGCTCAGGTCATGATCCCAGGGTCCTGGGATCGAGTCCCGCATCGGGCTCCCTGCTCGGCGGGAAGCCTGCTTCTCCCTCTGCCTGCTGCTCCCCCTGCTTGTGCTCACTTGCTCTCACTCTCCTCTCTCTCTGACAAATAAATAAAATCTTAAAAAAAAAGAAATTTGGGGGACGTAAGAATAATAAGCACTTTCCATCATCCATATGTTAAAAGTGAGTTGAAATGTCGTAGCAGAGATCACTTGTTTTGTTTGTGTAAATTTAAGATGCTGCATCAGAGACTGGAAAACTTTTTTGTGAAGGGCAAGAGAGCAAATGTTTCAGACCTTGCAGGTCATATATGATCTCTGTCTTTTAACTTGTTTGTTTGTTTGTTTGCAGGTCTTTAAAAATGTAAAATCCATTCTTAGCTCATGGGTCATACAAAAATAAGTTGCTCAGATTTTCCCATCCCATTGGAGGTGGAGAACAAGATTTCTGGGCCCCCCTAGGGAAAAGAGAGAAATGAGATGATTGAGGAAGAAGGGGGAGCTAATAAGAAAACGGAAGTTTTAGGTATATGCTAATACTGTACTCACCCTGAAAAAAGCCATTGCACCACCAGATCATGAGAAGTATAATAATGTAAATGAATGCTACTGCTACAAGGCAGGGTTACTTAAAGGAGTAATAAATTCGAATTTATTGCATTCGGGAGGTAACTGAAGTCCTTCTGATCAGGTGTGAGCCCATGGTTTGTGTTTGCATTTATTTTTTAAGCAAAGTACTGTGATTGGATGTAAAGGTCATGTTGTTTGCTACTACAGTTGGGATTCCACCGTCCCCCTGCATGCATCTTTCCATCAGTAACAAGTGCATTGGAAGCAGGGGTAATTTTGTAATGCTCTTGACCCCCAGGTGCCACTCCTTTAGGATTTCGCACGTCCCTGAACCTTTGTGGTTGATGGGGTCTCTGTCCTGGCCATCTGACTCCCCTTCTCCTTGGTTCTTTTCCTTCTGGATTTTCCCGGGGTGGGGGCAGAAATGTTGTCCCTCACCTCCAAAGTGATGTGACATTTCCTGGGTCACGTCATTGGGCTTTCTCTCCCTTGCACATCCCAGGAGTGCTTCAAGTAATGCTTTGCAAAGGTAGAAAACAAAAGCCTTTTCTTTCTTCCTGGAAAGACACTCAATTCCATAGACCTTGCTGGGAAGCTATCATGCACATTACTAAGAGATACTGAAATGTGGTGGTCCTGCACTGATGTTTTCCAGACTTGCACCTGGAATACAATGGTGTTAGGTCTGTGCTCTAGCTAGAAGGGCCATTTGAGCTCTGGTCCACGGGACAGACCCGGGAAGTGGAAATGTCCACACTGTGTGTGGATGTGCACAGAAAGGGGAGCACGGAATCCCATGGCCGGGGAAATCAGGGTGGGTTCCAGAGAGGAGGTGATTCAGACCTGGGACAGGAGGGCTATCTAGAAAAGTGGGAGGGGAGTTAAACCTTACAGATAGTCTAGCACCAGGCCTGCCTTGCCCTTTTATGGTCTCTTGGACATAGGCCAGTGGTTGCTCGAACACCCAGTCTCATACCGGCCCGGCCCCTCCTCAGAGTAGGACAGAACTGGGGTGCACGCTAGCCTTGGGGAAGTGGGAAAGAGGAAGAGCTAAACCTTCTCCAGAGTGGCTGTCAGGTACCTGGGGCTGGGCGCAGGAGGAGCCTGAGCGCAGCCCGAATGTGTCAGTGGTGTCCTCAGTTGAGCTCCTATTAACTTGGAATTGATACCCACAAACCTAGGCTGGTAGAAGCCAGCCAAAGCCTACCCAGAGGCACCTGTTTGTGGCTCTTGTGTGGTGATGGTGCAGCAGGTGGGTCTAAGTCCCTAATAAGACAGCTGGCAGAACAGTGCCACCTGCGGGGCATCATTTGCCTATCTGTCCTCCCTGCTAGAGGTGCTCTCCTGGAGGCCAGGAGGGAGCCTCCATCTTTTTTTTTTTTTTTTTTTTTAAATAGACTTCAGTTTTTAGAGAAGTTTTAGGTTGACAGCAAAATTGAGTGGAAGGAGCAAAGGTATCCCATATACCCCCTGGACCCTTATTGGCCCCTAATGTCTAGTCCCATGCTCAGAACCCAGCACATTCTCAGCAGATGTTTGGTGAATAAGTGAATTTTCAGCCAACAGATGGGAAAGTGAAATCATGCTC